GAGAGAGAGAGAGAGAGAGAGAGAGAGAGAGAGAGAGGGAGGGATAGCATGTCTGTTGGGTGCAGCCCTGGTAACTGGCTGTTACTTTTTTTGATTTTATCCTCTTGCACTTTTTTATAGTGTTGTGGAAAAACAGTAATCTACTAAAACATCAGCCAAAACAATAGAGATCTGAAACAAAGTTTATTTATTAAAAAAAACCCTACAACAATGATCCCCGGACTTGCAGCCAAGGAGACCTGCCAAGAGCCCCAATTGTAGTTTGGCAAAGGGAAACTTTCTAACTCCTATTATATAGGAGATAGAAAGAGTGCATCGGCAATCATGAATCATTAATTATATTACATAGACAAGAAAGGCCCCCAACCCTAAATTTGCAAAAAGCCTAGCCTTGGATGATTGTGCTATGAACCTTATCCACATTTCCTAACCCTAAGGACAAGTATTTCTTCCTATTTTATGATATAGTGACCCTTTTTCACATCTCTCCTCAAAATGCAAGTCTGCCTCTTATTATTTACTTTGTGTGTCTTCCTTAGGATCATTTCCAAAGTAAATTACAGTATCAGAGGGTGTTCTGAGTTCCAACAATGTTCTACCTACACTGGAAACATGATTTAAGCAGAAAGACTAACATCTTAACTAAGAAAATGTTTTTTTAATTAATAACTTTTAAACTCTACAATGGATTTTGTTGCATGGACTTATTATTAATGGGGGGTAAGGCTTTTATGGTTTGAAGTTTTTGACAAAATTCAAAGCAGTGTATAAATGTTGATAAAATCAATGAAGAGAAAGAAAGAAAGAGAAACAGGACATAAGTAAGTTTTGGGTTAGTCACCTTTCTTTTTTAAAATGAACTTGTACAATTTGATGTCTGTGACATCAGCCAAGGACATGTATTCATGATTACATAAAAGAATGTTGACAACTTTATCAAATATGTGCCATATTTAATAATGAGCCTTAATGGGGATGAGGAGATCTTCGAAAGATGCTAGATAGTCTTGGGCGATGGTGGATTCTCCTTTACTGGAAGTTTTTCAACAGAGCCTGGATGGCCATCTGCCAGGGATGTTGCATTATTGCACTGGACAAAGTGATGGGCTATGTGATCTTCTTTCAAACCTTTCCATTGTAGGATTCTACATAGTGGATTCCTACACTGGGCAGGTGGCTGGTTTAGATAATCTCCCAGGTTGCTTCCATTCTAGAATTCTATATTTCCAGGGAGGCCTCTACAGTGGAGTAGATCTAATGATGAGAGAACTCATCCATGAAAGCTTAAGGGAGAATAAAATATTTGCCTATAAAGTGCCACTAGATTTGTGGGGTTTTGTGTTAGAAGACTGATCTAGCTCTCTCTGGACACAGACATTTCAATCTGGAAAGAAGATTGAACTGTAGGTAATTCAAGTATCAAACAGGAATTCATTCATTCATTCAACTTGTATAGCCATCAAACTCAAGACTCTGGGCAGCTTACACGCAAATTTAAATACAATCACAAGAGAAAAAATGACACATATCACCTGAGATAAGGAACTAGGCTTCTTGTTTTTTACATGCTACACTTTTTGTTTTCTGTTCTAGCTTCACCCATTCCTCCAAAACTCTCAGCTGCACAATAGTTCCATGGATGGAGTATATTTGGATGAAAATGGAAACCTGGCAGCTGATTTTGACATCATGAACTGGATGCTTTTTCCAAATAGGTCTGTCTCCAGAGTGATATTTGGGAGTCTAGAAAGACAGAGATCCTTGGGTTTCAATTTTACCATCAACCAGGATGCTCTGGTGCACCTGAAATTACTCAACAAGGTACAGAAACTGAGGTCTTTAATTTCATTGTCTCTCAAGTTCTTAATAACAGCAGTGAAGACTGGAGATGTCTTCACAATCTCAGGAGAGAACCTTCTTTCATTTCTGTTATTCGGTTGCATCCAAAGTAGACCCTTCAGATAAAGCTATATCACTATACACTGCGTGCACAATTAGGCAAGTTGTATTTCTGAGGATGAATTTTATTATTGAACAACTACAGTGCTCTCAGTCAATCCAAAATGTTAATAAACCCCAAACCTGAATATTTAAGAAAGTAAAAGTGAGGTTTTGGCTTTCTTAGGAGTATATCTATGTATGCACAATTATTGGGCAACTATTAATGTGCAGAATTATTATGCAACTAAATGACAAAAATTCCCCCATCTTACTCGTTTATTTTCATCTGTTAAAGTGAGAATAATAAACAAACAACTCAAAATTTGTAAATAAACATTTCTGACATTTCAAACAAAAAATCAGTGACCAGTATAGCCACCCTTCTTTGCAATAACAGTCATAAGCCTTCCATTCATGGAGTCTGTCAGTTTCTTGATCTGCTGACAATCAACTTTTTGTGCAACAGCAACCACAGCCTCCTGGACACTGTTCAGAGAGGTGTACTGTTTTCCTTCACCGTAAATCTCCCGTTTGAGAAGGGCCCACAAGTTCTCAGTAGGGTTTAGGTTGGGTGAGGAAGGGGGCCATGTCATTATTCTTTCATCTTTGAGGCCTTCACTGGCTAGTCATGCAGTGGAGTACTTCGATGCATGCAGTGGAGCATTGTCCTGCATAAACATCATGGTCTTCTTGAAAGATGCAGACTTTTTCCTGTACCACTGCCTGAAGAAAGTATCTTCTAAAAACTGGCAGTAGGTTTGGGAGTTGATTCTGAGTCCATCTTCAGCCCAAAAAGGTCCAACTAGCTCATT